GCAGGAATTCAGAGGCCCTTGAGGAAGGCGTGAGCTTCAAGCGCTAGGCTCATCTGATCCTCAGACCTGAAAAGCCTTCTCAGGGCCTGGCTTTCCAGGGACCTTGGCAGGGTCTGCATCCTGTCGACCTAGAGAGCTACACCCATTTCTCTCTTCCTGCTGGATTCCTAATGTCCATCCAGACCTGCCCTGGTCTCAGCGCCTCAGTGACGCCTTCCCTGAGCATCTCACACCCCTCAGAGCCTGTGCCACCCAATTTAACGTTGTTCCACAGACCACCTCAGATGTCCTTGGGGCCCGTGGGTGGGCTTTAGCTCCCCAACTTTCATGCAAATTCCCCAGGCTGGAAGGTATCTTTTACTTTGTCCCACGTGCCCAAGTGCCTTGGGACATGACAGGTGTTCAGTAAAGCGGCTGCCCCATGAAAGGCTGTACAAATAGCTGTAACCAGCTGGGGTACATATGCGCCAGCGCTGTGACCGCAGGCAGCCCCCCCCCCCACCCCACCCCACCGTGGGACAGGGTCAGGCTCAGGGAGCACGGAGATCAGAGCCTCCGGCCTTTCTCTCTGCCCACAAGCACAGCGGCGTTAAGCCCTCGTACCTTGCTGGCTTTCAAGATCTCGAACATGAGGGGCAGGCCCTGGGTGACGAGCTCCTCTGTGTACTCTTCCTCCTGAATGGTCTTAAACTCCTTCAACAGGCACTGAATGAGAGGCCGGCGGTGCTGCTGGAAGGCGATCCGCAAAGACTCCAGCCAGGTGTGCAGGGTCCACGGGACACCTGGAAAGGGGGCGGGCGCGGGTGGGGGAGGGGACGGGAGGGCAGAAAACAACCAGAGGCGAAGGCGTGTTTTTATCTGGAAGCTGGCCTTTCCGGGGGACATTACCACATCATGAGACCAAGAGCCTGCCTTTCGATGAATAGAGCCAGTGTTGCTTTTTTTTTACCCCCAAAGACCCGCAGAAGTTGAAATTAAAGGTCGTAATTCGATTCCCTTAACTATGGGTGTTTAGTTCTGCACGCTACTCATATTATTGGGGCCTGCATTTTACAAGGTATAATCCTTGTGTAGAATATTGGAATTATAATGCATACTCTTTATGCAGATTGCATCCTTCTGAGTTCTGACTTCCTTCGTCTCCATCCCCGCTACATCCGTGCCCAGAGCTTAGAGGTGGTGAAACCCACGGGTGGACCTCAGCATCTGCTGCTCTGGTCAGGGCAGATATTTCCATCTGAATATGAAGACACAGGAGGATACTGCTGCCGCTCCCATGTGCAAAACAACATTTCCATCTGCAGGCACTTCATCAGGTCTTTCTCCCTTGACAGAAGCCTCTCCAGCAGCTGATTGCTGTGATTTGCTTCTCCCCCCTCACTGTGAGACTGAGGCACTCGCTACTGTTTATAACAAGCACACGATTCAGGGTCTCAAGCTTCAGAATCAAGCGTCACAGGCTCGCAGGGCGATGGCATAAACGTCCGCCACACTAAACGGCCACTCTCCAAGAGAGACCAGTTTCCAGAACAGCACCGGGGGCCCCTCATTGGGGCTTCAGCCTACCCTGAGCTGCCACAGCCTGTGTTTACAGCCCGTGCTCCATCCTGCTGTTTCTGGGCCGGGGCTAGTGCCATTAGAGGGGTCAAGGCCAGGCCAGCCTGTTCCCCAGCCCAGACGCACGAAGGAGATGGCTCCGGCATAGCTCACTCAAGGGAGAGCCACCCCTAACTTTTCCCGAGGGTGGCTTTGCCCCTGAAGTGGGTGCAGCCTTGCTAGGGAAGAGATGCCCTCATCCTAGCTGGTGCCGGCGGCCGCTTCCTGGATTTGGGTGCTCTCAGGCAGCGATTCCCCAACCACTGGGAACCACCTGGGATGATTGTTAAATATAAAGATTTCCAGCCTTTATCCATCCAGACCCTCGACAGCAGAGCCTCTGGGTGTAGGGCCTGGCAATCTGTATTCAGACAAGCTCCCCAGGTGATTCCAATTTCTAACTCAGGGTCCAGAGTTTGGGAATCGTGCAGCCCCCCCCCCCACCCCACCCCACCGTGGGACAGGGTCAGGCTCAGGGAGCACGGAGATCAGAGCCTCCGGCCTTTCTCTCTGCCCACAAGCACAGCGGCGTTAAGCCCTCGTACCTTGCTGGCTTTCAAGATCTCGAACATGAGGGGCAGGCCCTGGGTGACGAGCTCCTCTGTGTACTCTTCCTCCTGAATGGTCTTAAACTCCTTCAACAGGCACTGAATGAGAGGCCGGCGGTGCTGCTGGAAGGCGATCCGCAAAGACTCCAGCCAGGTGTGCAGGGTCCACGGGACACCTGGAAAGGGGGCGGGCGCGGGTGGGGGAGGGGACGGGAGGGCAGAAAACAACCAGAGGCGAAGGCGTGTTTTTATCTGGAAGCTGGCCTTTCCGGGGGACATTACCACATCATGAGACCAAGAGCCTGCCTTTCGATGAATAGAGCCAGTGTTGCTTTTTTTTTACCCCCAAAGACCCGCAGAAGTTGAAATTAAAGGTCGTAATTCGATTCCCTTAACTATGGGTGTTTAGTTCTGCACGCTACTCATATTATTGGGGCCTGCATTTTACAAGGTATAATCCTTGTGTAGAATATTGGAATTATAATGCATACTCTTTATGCAGATTGCATCCTTCTGAGTTCTGACTTCCTTCGTCTCCATCCCCGCTACATCCGTGCCCAGAGCTTAGAGGTGGTGAAACCCACGGGTGGACCTCAGCATCTGCTGCTCTGGTCAGGGCAGATATTTCCATCTGAATATGAAGACACAGGAGGATACTGCTGCCGCTCCCATGTGCAAAACAACATTTCCATCTGCAGGCACTTCATCAGGTCTTTCTCCCTTGACAGAAGCCTCTCCAGCAGCTGATTGCTGTGATTTGCTTCTCCCCCCTCACTGTGAGACTGAGGCACTCGCTACTGTTTATAACAAGCACACGATTCAGGGTCTCAAGCTTCAGAATCAAGCGTCACAGGCTCGCAGGGCGATGGCATAAACGTCCGCCACACTAAACGGCCACTCTCCAAGAGAGACCAGTTTCCAGAACAGCACCGGGGGCCCCTCATTGGGGCTTCAGCCTACCCTGAGCTGCCACAGCCTGTGTTTACAGCCCGTGCTCCATCCTGCTGTTTCTGGGCCGGGGCTAGTGCCATTAGAGGGGTCAAGGCCAGGCCAGCCTGTTCCCCAGCCCAGACGCACGAAGGAGATGGCTCCGGCATAGCTCACTCAAGGGAGAGCCACCCCTAACTTTTCCCGAGGGTGGCTTTGCCCCTGAAGTGGGTGCAGCCTTGCTAGGGAAGAGATGCCCTCATCCTAGCTGGTGCCGGCGGCCGCTTCCTGGATTTGGGTGCTCTCAGGCAGCGATTCCCCAACCACTGGGAACCACCTGGGATGATTGTTAAATATAAAGATTTCCAGCCTTTATCCATCCAGACCCTCGACAGCAGAGCCTCTGGGTGTAGGGCCTGGCAATCTGTATTCAGACAAGCTCCCCAGGTGATTCCAATTTCTAACTCAGGGTCCAGAGTTTGGGAATCGTGGACGGGTGACCTGAGGATGGGACTTTGGGGCTGGCAGGATGCTGCTGTCTATGGGGATGGTGTGGGAACTTAGCCTGGAAGTGCTCCAACCAGCAAATGAGAAGTTCCCTGGGCTGCGTGGGGTGTGCGTGCGTGCGTGCGTGCGTGCGTGTGCGTGTGTGTGACCTGGAGCTGGGCAAAGGCTCTGTGCCCAGCCTTGGGGGGCCCCCAGACTGACCTATGCTCCTGATGTCAATCGTGACATCCACGTAGCCGTGCTCAGCGCTGTGATACATGGCCTCCCTCAGGGCTCTGAGTTTGGCCTTGCTGTTGCGGCTGGCGCACAGGGGGGGCGGGGCTGCCTCCGCCAGGTCTGTCCCCTCGGCCAGGATCTCCTCCAGGGACAGGATGTCGCTCTTCCCCTTCTCTGGCTGAGCGAGCAGTTTGCGGAACACATTCCTGTCAATCATAAACCCAGAGACGAAGACACTCAGAGATGGAAGGGCTCTGCCAAGGCAGGGACTAGGCAGGGGAAGTGGGGAGACCTCTCACTTGGTACAAGGGAAGGACGGGACCAACCCCGGGGTGGCGGTTTCAGAGGCCTGACCACAGGTGCTGCGTTTGGTGGATGGGAGAGATGGTGGGGCAGGTCTGGCTGTGTTTCCTTGAGGACAACTTGGAGCTAAGTGCATTCCCCAAATATCTAGAAGGTTCTAGAACCGTCTGCCTGCAGTTCCCCCCCCCCCATAGTGAATTTGCTTCACTTGGGGTTACGTGTAGTAAAATCTGATGGGGTAAATCCTGAAGGAAATGTAGACAGGAAGTAACCAAACATGAGGGGTTTTACGATTCTTTAAAATGGATTCTTCTCACTTCACGACAGGTGATAGGATGAGTGCTGACCAACCCTGGTGAAGAGCGACATCTCTGTGATAGGAAAGCCGGTGGGGAAAGGACCAGACAAGCCAGTCTGAGTGGACGTGTGCTGCATGAAGCTGGCCGGGCCTGGTCTGCCTCTGGGTCCCACATCCAGAGATACAGTGGGTCTGGGGTAGGCTTGGGAATCTACATTTTTAACAAGCACCACTTGGGACCTCGTGGCTTTGGGCCATCCTAGCCTACCTGTGTCCGTGGGCTGCGGCCTGGCTGAAAGAGTTCATATCACCCTGGGGGGTGGTAGAAATTCCATTCCTGTACATGGTTCCTATCAGGGGGTCCGCGCCACGCTCCAACAGCAAACTAACCAGCTCAAAATTTCCTGCAAGCCCAGAGAAGGGGGTTTTATAAGAGAATCAAGCAAACACACAGTCACAGACACATCAAGGGCCAGCGCGCTGCAGCCCCTTGGCCGGCGTGAGCATCAGCAACTCTTACCTACGGCGGCTGCGAGCTGGAGGGGCGTTTCTGAATAGTTCTCCTCGCCATGCTCCACAGAGCCCTCCACCTTGGCCCCAGCATCCAGGAGGAGCTGTGGAGGAAGAGTGGCCATTGAGATGTTTAAAGGGCATGCATGTGAGGAGACGTCAGGAAAAGGTGGTGGAAATCAGTGTGACGTCAGTGTTCCTGCCCTCCCTCTGGGTCTGTGAGCATGTGCACGGGGGAGGGCAATTGCACCTCAGAGGAAAAACCGAGAGCCTCTCGTATTTTCTAGAGCCTCGGATCACTCAAATTGTGGTCCGCGGACAGTAGCATCCGCATCCCCTGGGAGCTTGTTTGAAATGCTGGCTCTGAGGCTCCACCCCAGACCGAATGATGGGAATCTGCACTTCAGCAAGTTCTCCAAGTGATTTATATGTACATTAAAAGTTTCTAGAAGCACTGAGCTAGAAGCTCGTGGCACCAGAGTGTTGGAGGACTTCCTTTCGGGGTCGGTGACACAAAGCCTCGGAGAGTATTAGTGGGGTCTCTTAGAGCCATAGCAACTCAAGAGTTCTGAAAAACTCTTCGGGGACCACCAGGGCCAACCAGGACAAGAATCGCTTCTAGAACATCCTGGAGGGCTCTGAGGACAGCTCAGCAGATGCTGAGTTTTCTGGCCAGCAAGATCAGTGACTAAAGTGGCAGAGTGAGCTTCCAAGAGCGCTGCTGTATATGATTCCATTCTGTGCATCTCTGAGAGATCTGGGCTTCCTAAAAACAGAGATGCTGTCCATGCTGGATCTCACAGTGAACGTGCTGTCAGCACTGCTGATGTAAAATGAGGGGGAAACATCTGTCTTACCTGTTCAGGGCTACCTGAGGGCACAGCCAGGAAGGGGCTGCCTACCTGGCATTCCATGATGTGCGCACCTGCTGCAGAGAGGTGACCTGACTTCTGTTTGGCTTTGCTTGGCTACCCACTGCTCCTATTCCTGATTTAAAGGCTGGGGATGCCACTGCATGTTAAGGGATGGCATTTGTGTCCACTAGGCCACCCTCTGACCCCTCGTTTCTTAGATCCCTCCACTAGGAGTGGGCTGGTCATGACATTCTACAGGCAGAAGCCAGCTCTCGGTGTGACATGTCACACACTCAACCTCCTGAAACATGACTTTGGATCTGTCTTAAGGATTCCCATGACCTAGGAAACAACGAAGGATTCCTGTGGCACTCCAACATTGCCTAGGGGTCCCTGGCACACTATTTTCTGCTCTGCATAATTCTAAGAGGCTTGGACCACGTAAAAGGAGGTGAGTTCCTGATGTACCCAAAGCTCAGCATTTATTAGGGGGTCAGATGTGGTCAGGGACATGGATGCTGATCTCTTTTTTCCAATGAAGTAAAGTTTTAAGATCTAGAATAAACCGAGCTTAAGATCTAGAGTATACTAGATGGCTATTCATTGAACACCAACTCTACAACAGCCAGAAAAGGTGCAAGCAAAACACACTTACGTGCCCAAAGGACCTCAGATGAGGACATCTCTCCATACTCGGGGAGCTGTTTCAGAAGACACATGTGAAGACCCTACTCTAGACCTCTTGGATGGGATTCTCCATAAGTGGGATCCAAGCAAGTATCTTTTGGAACCGCTCCCTTGGTGACTTGGATGCTTCTTTCCAGTGGTTGGAAACCACTAGACTCTATGCAAACACTGGGGTCACACCTAAGGGAAGGTTCTAAGGTCTCACACCAGCCAGGTCTTATGTTCATGTTACAACAAGCAAAAATGAACAAATCCACAAAATCACAGCTCAGGCCCCACCCCCGAGCAACTGGGAACGACTTGATAAGCTTGCCACTCTGCGTGTGAGGCTGCATGTGGGTATGTGTTAAGTTCATATTGGTTAGAGCCAGGCCATATAGAGCATTACATATAATATTTTTATTCATATGATATGAATGTGCTATATTTAACTGCAGTTAACCAATATGAATCTCTTAGGGAATAGGCATGCTGGGAGAGGTACAAATTTGCATAATGAAAGAGGTAAAATTAAAGGTCAGATGTGGATAGGGAAATATGTTAATACCTGAACTACAGGAATATGTCCATGCAACACAGCAAAAGTCAGAGCCGTCCAATGGCGGGTCTCAGGGTGGACGGATGGATATTTATGAGGAGTACTGACAACCTATAAACAAATTGAAGTTATTTTCAAAATGTGACCTTCACAATACTTAGACCAGCAAATCTGACCTATCTGTGGCTGGGTATGTGGGCTAGATATGTACAAAAGGACGTCCTAGAAGGCGCCTCGGGAAACACTGGAGATGTGGGGTAGTGACTTTCTATCCTCCGTCACAATAAGCACTCCTTTGCTTCTCATCTGAAAAGAGTTGAATGGATGATTTCTGACCACCTCTAAGGAGCCTTGGAGAAGCTGTAATGGTGGCTACAATGAGCCTGCTCCCCTGCCTGTTTCCTCTTCCTGCTTAAGGGAGGGTGATGCTTCTGAGAGCTACAGGATGTCAGGTAGTGTGAGGCCACTACCATCACATCCACATCTTTAGGGGAAATTCTTGGCAGCAGCAAATCCCGTGCAAGAGGAGGTCTGCTTCGAGCTTTCAAGCCAAGCAATACCACCAGCCATCTGATGGAGGACATCACCATCTGGTCACAGCTCACCCCACACTGTCCTCACTTCATTCTTCTGCTGGCTTCCTGGTTGACAAGGACCCTCATGCTACTGGAAACCTAGGCACAAACCTTCCCTGGGCACACCACGAATGAGCAATCTGATACTGGCCTTCCCATATGGGGACCTCAAAACACCCCAGGCCAAGAGAGAGGCCGCAGGACAGCTAAAGGTTAGGGTCCTGCAGGATTGCCACCTACGCGTGGCTTTTCTTCCAAACATTCCTGGGGCCATATAGCCGCGATGCCTGCTGCTTTCATAGCAGTTGATTTCACTAATCACCGGTGGCGGGAGGACCTTGAACTGGAAGCTGTGGGATGGGCTAGAGGACCAGAGAACCCCACCAGGACCCAAAGTTGACGAGCCTTTGTAGGGATGTGCACAGTGCTTGGGGGATTCATAGCAGGAAAAAAAATCCCCAATACTTGAAATTTATAAGATCCAAAATGGTTCTGGATCCAAAACCATGTCTATTGCCTGCTTTCCTCAGATGAATATAAAGCATGCTAATTTTTTTATTTTTTTAAACTACAGTGCTAAGACTACAAGAGCATCTAATTTTGAACTAAAAAAAGTTTCCTGGGGTGGCTGAGTTAGGAGTGCAGCATGTCAGTCGATCTTCTCAGCCTCTGAGACTGCCAATATTAGGCTGCCGGAAGAGAGTGGGTCTTCTTTTTTTTTTTTCTGTGAGAGTGGGTCTTAAGTCAGCATAGAACATGGTCAAAAAGTGTAATTTTACCTATTATAAGCCTTGGTGGGGGCGGGGGCAGGAACCAATAATAACTGAGTCCTAAATTGATCCTACTCTGTATTTATTTCTTTCAACAACTCTCTGAGATGGGTGCGATTGTTCTCCCATTTTGCAAAGGGGAACACCGAGGCTCAGGAAGGTTAAACTATTTGCCCAAGCAGAAAAGCAAGTTACTAAGATGCAGCAGTTTCAGAATTTGAACCCAAGTGTCAAATTCTAAAGCCTGCAGGGGCTGGGGGGGGGGTATGCTTTCCACTATACCACGCTGCCTCAAGGAAGCTTTGTAATTAGCTTTAAGACCTGTGGTTTAAACCGGCCAACTGGGTGAGCCAATCGGGATTTGGTGGGGGAGGGTGGAAGATCTGGGGGCGGGGGGGGGGGTATGCTTTCCACTATACCACGCTGCCTCAAGGAAGCTTTGTAATTAGCTTTAAGACCTGTGGTTTAAACCGGCCAACTGGGTGAGCCAATCGGGATTTGGTGGGGGAGGGTGGAAGATCTGGGGGAGCTACACCTTAGCTCAGGGTACGTGGACCAACTTTGTATTTGGCAGAGGAAAGGGCTGATGGCTCAGGAGAGCTCTCTCTTCCTGACCCCAGAAGGAATGGATCAGCAAGAAGAATCAGAGATTGGGTACAGATGAACTGAGGGAAAAGCTAGGGCTCCTTGTGGCCTCACTGGTTGTTTTTAAATGAAAAATGTTTTGGGGCAGCTCCTTGGAGTTTGGTTGGGCTGGGGCCTCAGGACGGAGGAAATCCAACAGCTGGTCTGACCTATTTGCTGGACTGAGCACCCTCAGCAGTGGCTCTTTGGGAGATAAAGCCCCCCTCTCTTTGCTCGCCTTTCCCCGGGGACTGCCAGGCCCAGGGGCCCTGCAGCCCTCTGCACCCTCACCTCCACATTCAGGTCAGCTCCGGCATCCAGCAGCATCTGAACCATTGCCTCGTCCCCGCGGACGCAGGCGTACATCAGGGGGGTCATGCCCTGCAGTGAGTTAAAAACCAGAGAATGGAGGTTTACCAGGTGAAGGTGTCACTTGACAAAACAAACGGAAAATCTTACTTACTTGAAGAAGGCTATAACTGTACTCAAAATCCAGTATTTTAAAGTAAATGTACAGCCCTATAAGGTCATAATCCTCCATATTTTGAAAACCAAAAGGGAAGCAAGAAGGGAAACATACATTGCCTTTCTTTTGCATTTATCTTGGCTTAAGTCGGAGGATTTTTTGTTTGTCTTAGGGTGCAACAGATCTAAGAGTGTTTGCTAAAACAAGTGGCTGGTTTCAACTGAAAGCTCTCAGGAACTTTCTGGATTCTGCAATATCAGCCCTAAGCTATCTAATTGGTAAACACTGTTTCCTTGACATTTTCTCTTTCACGGTATAAGTGTCATCTTTGCTCTATGTGAGCTGCTGGTCAGTGTCAAGGGAAATTGGTGCCTCTGAGTATGACCCCAGCATGACGTCAGCTTTGACATTATCATTTACAAGCAAAAGGCAAGGGAATGAGGAATGACTTTCAGGAATTCCATATCTGCCCACGATTCCTGCTTATTACGAAGTACCACAACCAACAGAAGTAAGGGATAGATTTTTCAATAAACAGTGTTGTGAAGGCAGCTATTTGGGAAAATGTTCAGGTTAGAGCCTTATCTCACACTATACACCAAAATCATTTCCAGTTTGATTAGCGATATAGAGAAAAAAATTAAAACCTTAAAAGACATCTAACTGGATCCGTTTCTAGGCATAAAAGTAATGGAAGAAATCACAAAAGAAAATCATTACAGTGTTGAGGACATGCAATTGAAAACATAAACAAAACTGAGGTAAACAATAAATTGAGACATCTGTCATATTATAACAGAGGGCTATATGTCTAATATGTAAAGAGCTCTTTGAAATAAAGAAGAAAAACACTTAAGCTCTAATGAAAAACAGGCAAAAGATTAATTAAATTAAGTAAAAGATTAATAGGGTACACATAAATAGTTGGAGAGTGTATACAAGGAAACAGTCTCTGGGAAAGAATTAATTTGAGATCAAAAACTTTAAGATAAGTTGATGCATTTGAGTGGCTATTTCCACTTAAAAAAAATTTCCCTAATGAAATAATCAGAAATTTGAACAAAGATTTGTGTAAGTATATGTAGCTCAGCATTACTGATATAAGTAATTAGAAACAATCTAAGTATTCAACAACTGAGGTATGGTTCACTGAACAAATAATATGACCATTTTATGTAGCCATTAAGAGTGAGTTAAAAAAAGAATATTTAATGATACTGCAAAGTATCTTTAATACAAAATACCAAAACCAGAAAGATAATAAATCCTTGTTCTTAAAAAATAGTGTGTGTGTGTGTTGTGTGTGTTGTGTGTGTGTGTGTGTGTGTGTGTGTGTGTGTGTGTGTGTGTGTGTGTGTATTAGGGCTCCTTTGTGTTGCTCAAGAAAATTATTAGCTGTTATCCCTTCCCTGGAACTTGCTGCATGAGCTGCCCATGTGAGAAGCAATTCCATTTGTCCTTTGTGACTTTCCATCTGGGGCTCACATTGAAAGCTGCTGTTTGTTTTCTCCATCTGTGACATCTTCACCCACCCCGGGGTGTCTCCCTGATAGATACACAAGCCTCTCACTGTACCTGTTTCAGTGGTTTGGGGGATGGCTGCCTGTCTCTGAGGTGTCTCCTAGGGTCCCTCAGAATGACTTTTGTGTATCTTAAACACACCCTGAAAGTTTGGTGAAAATCTGCTTGGATTTTTTCTGTGATGCAGAGAACTAATTTTAACCATGCTGGAAAAAGGGCCTGAAGGACACAAGCTAAATATAAATGATGGTGGATGATGATGGTATGATTTCCTTTCTGGAATAGGTCTATTTTTCTCTATTTTCCATTTCAGCTGCAAAGATCACGTGCAACTTCTGTACAGATGAACAAGGATATTTTTATAAGATATTTTAAAAACTTAGAAAAAAAAAAAGAAAACAACAACAACACAATCACCCTACGTCACCAGAAGGGGGAGCCTCTGTCCAGTGCCTGCTGTTTCCATCCTGCCCTGGGGCAGGGCACATGGTGGAGGTGGGGTGCCTGTTCAGACACTCGGAGGACGCTGTACCTGTTCGCTCATGGTGTTGATCCCATCGGGCCCCAGGAGAGACACTGCCTGCTTCACCAGGTCCGTCCGTCCACAGTTTAGCATCCGGAAACCCAGGTCCTGCTTAAACTTGGCTTCGATGGCCACTGCGTCCAGCTTCCGAGAAGCGCAAAAGCAGTCATCGGCCCTAAGGAAGGGAGAGATGGTCAGGTGCGTGCAGCAGCTTTGCCAGGACTGGCTCTCGAGGGCCACAAGAGTTAGGAAGCACCAAGGAGACTTCCCATTTGCTTTTCATGTCAATTGCTTGTTTCTGGGCTCCAGTTAGAATATGGATGTTTCTTGATCCTTGTCCTTTATAACTGCTGCTTATCTGTCTTATCTCTCCTCTGCTCCCACAGCATATTGAGCTAAGAATAATAATGGCTAATATTTACTGACTGTTCACTATGGTTAAACTCTTTACATGAGTTAATTCATTTACTCCCCACATAACCCCAAGAGGTAAGTACTATCATTACCCTCTCTTTTAACCATGGGAAACAGACACAGATAAGGGACTTGCCCAAGGCCACACAGCAAAAAGCAGTGAGCTGGGATGTGAGCCCAAGGCAGTCTGTGGAGAGCTGACCTGGGTATATACTCTGTCCCCCTGTCCCCCCATCACAGCATATACTATTTGCCTCTTTCCTTGTCTGACTTCCCCTCCAGGCTGGGGACTTCTGAGAGCAGGGACCTTGTCCAGCAAGTCTCTGCATCACAGTCCAGACAGCACCCAGCACATGGAGGTGTTAAAAACGTTAGCCGAGTGAACACAGAATGGCTGAAGTCTCTACTTTCAAAGTGGAAGCGGGGCGGAGACCTGGCAAGATGAAATAAGAGTACTAGTGGTGAGATGCTTTGGAAACTAACCGAGCCAGCTGGGCGAAGTGAGCCAGGTTAGGGAAGGGTGGGGAGAAGAATCAAGGAATTCAAGAAGGGGACACAAACTACGCTCGCAAAGGATGTTACTTCCTTCTTATGGTGAATTGTCAAATCAAATCACCAAGTATTTACGGAGCACCTGTTTGCAAGAGGTGCACAGGAGCACCTGTTTGTAAGAGGTGCACAATGCCTGGAAGGGGAGAGGGCATGGGCCCTGGCAACCATAATGCCATGTGGCAATTGCAGTGATTGAGATGTTCAGAGACACACACCAAACAGAGCCTAGGGGATCCAGCAAGGCTTCCTGGGGAAGGTGACCCCTGAGCTTTGTCTTTTTTTTATATATATCTTTATTGGAGTATAACTGCTTTACAGTGTTGTGTTAGTTTCTGCCGTACAACAAAGTGAATCAGCTACATGTATACATATATCCCCATATCCCCTCCCTCTTGAGCCTCCCTCCCACCCTCCCTATCCAACCCCTCTAGGTCATCACAAAGCATCGAGCTGATCTCCCTGTGCTATGCGGCTGCTTCCCACTAGCTGTCTATTTTACATTTGGTAGTGTATATATGTCCATGCTACTCTCTCACTTCATCCCAGCTTCCCCTTCCCCCACCTGTGTCCTCAAGTCTGTTCTCTACGTCTCCGTCTTTATTCCTACCTCGCCACCAGGTTCATCAGTACCGTTTTTTTTAGATTCCATATATGTGCATTAGCATATGTTATTTGTTTTTCTCTTTCTGACTTACTTCACTCTGTATGACAGACTGAACTGTGTCTTAAGTAAGGAGAGAGAGGGACAGAGGGTAGGAGAACTTGGAGCAGGGCTTGCATGAGCAAAGGTATGGACACGAGACGTGGCGGGCTCTGAGAGCTAACTATGGAGGTTTTAGTGTTTCTGGGGCATAAACTTCCAGGCAGAGGGCCAGAAGCTGAGGGTGGGGAACTTTACTTAATCCTAAGACTTTATCCGTTAAGAGCCACTGAAGGTTTCTAAGCAGGCAGGGGAGTGATATGGTTGGATGGCCAACTCTGGGAGACCGTGGAGGATGGATTTGAGGGGAGCTGACCCTAGAGGTGGGGAGATGTTAGTGCTAAAAGAAACAGCCAAACAGAAAGAAGTCACTGCCCAAGTGTGAAGTGACAAGGGGCTGAGTGAAGGTAGTGGGTGCTGCGACAGAGCAGAGGACGAGGATTCCGTCTTTTCTACGAGCAGGTGCCCATTTCTCAGGTGATGGCCCTTGTCCTCAGGCTGGTGAGCTACACGCCCTGCATCATCAGGAGTCTGTGCTGTCCCGGACCCCTTCATATTCCTGCTCTTTGCTAATGCTGGGCATGGATACCCAGGAAAGGAGCCAGGGGTCCAGAATTCCTGGTTCCACTCCTGCCTCTAAATAACCCACTTTCTGGTGTGAGGAAGGGTTAAGTTTGCCAGGGAACTAGCTTCTTGTTAATCCTGGAAGGAAATGAGACGGACTGTTGTTCTGAAAGTTTATGGCACTAAGGCTCCTCAGTACGGCTAGGATCTGGGGCAGAGGACCTGAGGGACGAAGAACAGAGGGAACCTTAGGAATCAAGTGGGATGGGTGTGCCCTTGATCCTTCACTGGGGTCCTGACCTATCATTCATCTCAGCTGGCAAAGGAGCCTTGGAGGAAGGCTGTCCGGAAATAGGAACGCAGTCACAGGAGATGTTAGGGCTCTTAGAGGACCAGAGGGCGCTGATGTAGTGACGATGGAATCCAGAGAAAGAGGAAGCTTGGTGTTGACGTGGGGTCTACTCTGCATACATGCTTCAGGAACTGTGTGTCCAGCCAGGCCATCCGAGGGCTTGTTTGTATGACAGCCCTGGGAGGAACTAAGAAAGGTATTTAGGAGACTTGGACCTGGACCCTGGACTCCAGGATTAGACCTTTTCATGGCAGGTCGGGGAGCCAAGACTACCTCAGTTGGAAGACTCTCCAAGGAAGCCTGAGAGCTCTCCAGGTGTGGGTAGGGGAGGGCTGAAGACCCCGGGTCTGGCTTTAGACCATGGCATCAGCACCCAAGATGTGAACTTCTAAGGACACATAATGGGGCTGTGCCCTAGGGCTTCTTGGTCCAGTTCATGGGAATTTGGACTTGGGGTTCTTACAGCTGCAGTGGCCAGATTTAGCAAATAAATATACTTTAGCAAATACTGAGTGACACAAACTTATACTAGAACATTATTCACTGTTTATCCGAAATTGAAATTTAACTTAAAAAAAAAATCTGGGAAAGGGCAGAGCCACGTGCCATGATTTGAAAAGAACACACGGTGAGATCATGGATCCCACTGAAGTGTAGACAGCGCCCATCTCCAGGGGAAGAGGGGAGGTGCTTGGTGTGGCAGTGGGCTTCATCTAAGGGACACATGTTCCCCGCAAACTGGTTAAGGCAGATGCTTCAGGCAAAATGAACATGACAGAGAGAAGGTGAGAGCAACAGGGTGAGATCCTGGGGCACACATCACAGAGGCTTCCGGAGAGGGAGAGATGGGGGCCTGCAGGTGTCGTACCGAGGTGTCTGGAGCCTTGATGCGGGTGTGTGTGTGCAAATCTCGGGGAGGTATCTGATTTGACTAATTGTAAGGGAAACCTTTCTTCTAACAGACCACTATCTAATTCTGGAAGAGGTTGCTTTGTGAAATCAAGAGCCTCCTTCTTGGGGAGCAAAGATGCTGTGAATCGTCCCCGTCACTGAATTTGCAATTTCCTCTCTCCTGTCTGTGTCCAAGCCCCTTCTGCTCTCTTCAATGCCTGATTGACTCTCTCAAATAAGCATCTTTTCCGGAATCACACTAAATTCCATGTGGCTGGATGAGGGTTACTGCGGCATGTCCTGAGTGTGGGCACCAGGAGGGGAGGTTACGGAGGAGAGACACAGACCCTACCGCGTGCTCACGGAGCTCCCAGACTGGTAAAGCGATAATTCCTGGAACAGCAGGAGAAGGGTTTACCAGCTACAAAGGTCCTTGATTTTAATTAGAAAGAGAGAAATGGCAAGAAAATTACTGTCGCTAAGATGATGATGATGATGATGATGATGATAATTGTTATTATAGGAATTCAACGCTTATTGAATACTTACTATTGAAATCTAAGCTCTTCCCATGTATTAACTCATACGATCAGTACAACAAGCCCACAATGTAGGTGATATTGGGAGCCCCGTTCCAGAGATGAGGAAACTGCCCAAGTCACAGGGCTGGTAAGTGGCGAGCCAGGATTTGACCTGGCTGATCTGAGACCCCAGCCTGACACTGGCACTTCTCCATCATGCTGGCATACCCCCATATACAACTATCTACTGGACCAAACTGCTTGGATGGCTCTCAGACCCTCAAATTGGGCCCGTCCAGAATGGAGCTTTTTATGTCCATCCCCACCCTCCATCCTTGTCCTCCGGTCATCCCATCTCCGTAAATGGCACCACCGTCCACCCAGGCGCTCAGGCCAGAACCTTCTCTCATGCCCATATTCATTCCATCAGCTGTTAATGTTCCCACCCAAATCCCAAATCCGCCCACTTCTCTCCACCTCCACCACCCGCACCCTGCTTCTAAACACCAGCATCTTTTTTTTAAATTGGGGTATGGCTGTTTTACAACGTTGTGCTAGTTTCTACCACACAGTGAAGTGAGGTAGAATCCCCTGGGCTATACAGCAGGTTCTTATTAGTTATCTCCTTCATACATATTAGTGTATATGTGTCAATCTCAATCTCCCAATTCATCCCACCTCCCCACCCCTGCTTTCCCCCCTTGGTGTCCATACAACACCAGCATCTCTTGCCTAGAGGTCGTAATTTCAGTCCTATTAAAGTGCTTATAATGCAGAGTCTTTCAGGTCTGGGCATATTTTAATTCTTAGGCCTGTGATATCCTAGACAGCTGCTGACAAACAAGGACTGCCTTGCACCAAGCAGAGGCATAAGAATTTGTTATGACAAATTCTCATGACAGTGCTTTGGCTTGGGTCATTAGCAGGGGAGGGTTGGGAAGGGACAGTTGTTTAGACTTTTATATATTGGAAAGTTGTATTTTGAAATGTTTTAATAAAAGTTTTCTGTGTGAGGGACTTCCCTGGTGGTACAGTGGTTAAGAATTCGCCTGCCAATGCAGGGGACACAGGTTCAATCCCTGGGCTGGGAAGATCCCACATGCCGTGGAGCAACTAACCCCATGTGCCATAACTACTGAGCCCACATGCCACAACTACTGAAGCCCAGGCGCCTAGAGCCC